CCTTTCATCTAAAATGACTTCTTTTTTAAATTTAATCTTTATTGTATTTTTTCCATTACTATTTAGTCCCCTTATCCCTCTCTCTCCCCAGAAATCACCATACTCTTGTCCATGTACATGAGTCTTTTTTCGTTTTTGCTCAATTTCTCCACCCCCTAATCTCCCCCTCCCCCAAGATGTCATTAAAGTGACTTCTTTCTGCTAAAAGAAATTTGGCTGAAGTAGCTGACTTAACTGATGGTACAAAAATGAACCATGAAATATAAGAGTTTCATAAGATTGTGGCATAACCCAATTCACACAGTCATTAAATAATCAGTCTCAAAATATCAAGAGATCTAAAATAACTTATACTTCACTTTTGAAATGCAATAAACTTTTTGTTTTGTTGGCTGTGTAGATTTAAGATACCAATTATTGATGACTTTGTTTTAATAATGATTTTAATTACTTCTCATTTCTTGTGCACTGACCAATCTAAATGGTAAGAAAAGATGGTCATAGGCATGCATTGTGGCTTAGAAAGTCACTCCAGCCTTCAGAAATTTGCTCCAGAAAGCCCATCAGGAAGATAAACCTATGGAAAAGCCACAGGAGAACAAGTAAGAATAGTTTATAAGTAAACAAACTTGTTTTTGAAAGAAAGAGTGACAGTGACAAAAGGCTCCAATGGTTGTTTCACTGATAACAGAACAAGAAGTCAGGTTTTTAGACACCTTGAAGAGTATAAAGGTTGAGGGGGGAGTTGGAGGAGACATGGGAAGAGACATCCATTCATTCATGTAACAGCACTTTGTGATCACTTACACTCACTGGGCTGGGCTCTGAACTATGGCTTTGAAATACATATGGTTCATGCTCTCAACAATCTACTGGGGGAAAAACAGAAAGGAAAAAGGATTTTAGAGTACTTGAGAAATGGAAGAATCTGAGCATTCCTCGGAGGGACAACTAACTCATATTTGACAAGTCAGAGAATGTTTCCTGGAATAGTTCCATAAAGCTCATCCACTAAGAAGGATGAGAGAGACCAAAGAATGGGAGAGAAGGGCACTTCTAGACGAGAACATTGTGTGGGTAAAAAGCTCAGACACAAGAGAGAGCAAGCATGGGTTATTTCAGGAAAAGAAAATAGTACATGGGTAGAGGGTTGGAAAATAGTGATGGGAGATGGGGTAGGAGTCTTCTAAGTCTGGTGGAGTTTGACCTTTAGCTTGAAGGCCAGGGAGTGGTGTTCTCAATCTTCATTTTATAAAGAAAACTCTGGCTGCAGGGGATTGGGAAGCTGTCATCACCCAGTTGGCAGACACTGGTGGGCTCTACTCAGAAAGTTGCAGTGAAGATGGAAAGAATTAAGAGATAAATTAATAGATCTTTAAGAGAAACAAATCAGCAGGAAAGGATTTGATTATTGATAAATAGCTACATGCGGACAAAGGAGGAGGAAAAATTTCTGGCTTTGGCCACTAAATGGGCCAACTCTCGGACAAAGAAGACATTGAGGTAGGAGAAGTTGATTGGAAGGTGGGGGGAAGGCTGAATTAAAGGTGGCTGGGGGATATGTTGAGTTGAATTTAGGAGGAGACTAGGCTTAGAGGTTTGGGAATTGTTTGCATAAGGCAGAAGAGAAGATTCAAGATAGAACCCTGAGACAGGTTCACATGGAAAAGAAAGAAGAGCATATAAAGAAGATTTATATGGGCTTTTGAGAGAGGTAAGAGAAAAATCGGAAGAAGGTGGTATCAGGGAAACCCAGGGACCAGAGCTTTCCAGAGGGAAGGAGTGGTCAACAATGTTCAATGTCACTGAGAACCAGGTAGAAGCGGGAGACAAACTTAAACTGAGAGACATTCTACAAAATAAGTGACCTGTACTCTTTAAGAAATATAAAGACAGATTGAGAAACAGAGGCCAAAAGGGACTATAGTGTATAAAAACTCATTTGCAATGCATGATCCAGGATCTTCTTTTGTTACATATTTTATCATTTTAATGGTTGCATAATAATTATTATTAATTTCATTCAATTATATTTGAGTTTGTCATTTTTCTGAACCAAGAGAGTAATTTAATCTCATTCCAGACTTTCTCTAATCACAAACTATTCTGTTACTTTGGAGTTTTTATGTCACATAAAAAAGTGAAAATCAAAATTATACACTTTGACTGCTAATGCACTGTCAACTAAAGAATGCCCAGGCTATAGGAAAGTTTTTTAACAGTTCATTTGAGCTGAAATTTTGCAGACATGCCCAGAAGCAAAATCTCATAGATTGATAAAATGTTCCTGTTCCAGGACATAGCAGTTTTGCACCTTATTTTATATGTTAAAAGCAAAAGAGAAGAGGTAAAGAGTGTTATGAAATCCATGATGGTCAATTAAGTGGGGGGGGAGGGAAAGCAAATGGGGCGATCTCTAGAATTCAATAAAAAGCAAAGTGGAAAATGGAGAAACACATACTTCTTTTATATTGGTGGGTACAAGATAGTTAACATTTAATATTTACAGCACGTAGAGATAGTATTCAGGGAACAAGAAAACAACGAGGAGTTTCATGGTCTTGTACCCTGGTGCCATAGGCTGTGCTTCTGAGGGGTCTAGAAAAGAAAATTACTCTGGTGTTTGAAAGGCACTGTATGTTTGTTAAATGCATAAGTACAATGGACAGAGCTCACTTAAGGTAAAGATTGACCTTTACTAACTAAGCTATAGGCTATATGTGACTACCTGCCATGGTTCTCCGAGTTAGGAATTTATAATCAGATCATTCTATATGGTTATTTCCAGTCACCAAGTTTGTAAGGCCTGCCATGTGCCACCACCCACCCCAGCTTGTCAGGTTTAACATATCGCCCATTTTTCTTTCATAGCACAAAGCTGGAAGAGAAAGTAAAATTTACAAGTGCTGTGCTAGAGCTTGTATGAATGTGAAGGAAAGTTTTACTTCTTGTTGCATCTTTAAATTTGTCTTCTAAAGTTCTCTACATCTCCCATGGTGTCTTAGCTCTTAGTATCTGGCATGTGATTTGCCAAATCTCAGGTTATGCTATTTAAAATATTAACCTCAAGTGAAGGAATTTATGGGGTCCTATCCCAACGTAGGCATCTATAGGAAGCTGTGCATGTACAGGGATCTTTCAAGAACATGGCAAAATGGGACAATAACCCTCAGTCTTTTCTCTGTTGTCCTGCAGTTCTAGCAGTGGTGTATAGTTACCTCCTTGCAACGTATTAAAATATTTTCATTCTCTTTGTTAACTTCTACTTTTTATATTTTTTTAAAATGTAGACATTCACATTTTTAAAAGCTTTAAATCGCTTTCAGGTTTCTTTCAGTGGCCACCAAACCCTTTTCAACAAGTAGCCTTCTCTAAAATTCGCCCAAACTAGCCGTGTGCCTGGGGAAAGCTTTTTGGGCGAATGCCCTTAGCCAAGATGGCCGAAGCTACCTTCCATTGCCCTTGCTTGCCCTCAGCAAAGATGGTTTCAAACCTGCCTTTTCCCATACCAGACATGGCGTCCCCGCTTCCGGGTTCTTCGTTGCCGCTATTGCCGGATGGTGAGTGTAATTGGCGAGTTTTTTGGGCGGGTTGTCTGGGTTGATTTAGAAATGCCTTTGGACTGAGAGCTGGGAAGGGGTCCCCACGACGCTTCAGTTATGGCCGCTTCTCCTGGCACAGTTTCTGCCCATCCTCCCCCTCCTCCATCCAACCTGTGGGCTCCGCAGCTTCTGCAGCCTTGGTTTTGGGGAATCCGGGGAGTTTGCAGGCAGTGGATGAGATTAGGGTCTTCTTCTTATTTTTCTTTTTTAAAAAACAGCCTTGTTGAGATATAATTTATGTCAAATAAAATTCGCCTTATTAAAAGTTTGGTGACATGGCTTAGCATAAGCCATCCCATTTTGGGCCTGTCATCTTGTGTTTTAGCAGGAGTGTGCTTCCCTTCTTCCTTTAGATAATGGTTTCAAAGTATGTGCTTGTAGCATGTGACAGAACTTCATTCCTTTTTTTGCTGAAAAATATTTCACATATACGTATGCCAAATTGTATTCATCCATTCGTCGATGGACATTTGGATTCTTTTCACTTTTTGTGTATTTTGGATAAAACTTCTATGAACATTTGTGTAAGGCTTTGTGTGAACACATGTTTTTTGTTTTTCTTTTCTTTACATGTTTTTATTTCTTGAGCATATACCTACAAGTGGAATTAACTGGACAAAATGTAACTCTGTTTAACCTTTGGAACACTGCCAAACTGTTTTTCAAAGAGTTTGCACCATTTTGCTTTTATGTATGTGGATATCCAGTTATCTCAGTGTTGAAAAGACAGTCCTTTCCCCTTAGAATTGTATTGGTACCAAGTGGAAAATCTGTTGATGAACAGACATTTTTCCACAAAAGACATACAGGTGGCCAACAGACCCATGAAAAGATGTGCAACATCACTGATCATCAGGGAAATGCAAATCAAAACCTCAATCAGATATCAGCTCATACCTGTCAGAATGGCTGTTATCAAAAAGACAATAAATAACAAGTACTGATGAGGATGTGGAGAGAAGGGAACCCTCATGCACTGTTGGTGAGACTATAAAATGGTGTAGCCACTATGGAAAACAGTATGGCGGTCCCTCAAAAAATTAACAATTCAGCAAGTTCACTTACGGGTATTTATCTCAAGAAAACAAAAACACTAATTTGAAAAGATAAATCCTATGTTTATTGAAGCATTATTTATAATTGCCAAGATACAAAAGCAATCTTAGTGTCCATTGATAGATGAACAAATAAAGAACATGTGATATGTACAAGGAGGAACCCCCCCAAAAAAACCCAGAATTTATTTATTAAAAATTGTGTATTTATTCTTACATGTTTAAATTTCTGTCACCTTCAAAGTACTCTCCATTTGATGCAATACACCTATTGATATGTTTTTTCCACTGCTCAAAACAGTTTTTGAACTTGTCAATTCTGATGCCTTTTAGTGCTTCTGCCATTTTGTGTTTCACCTCTTCCACATCAACAAAACATTTCCCTCTGAGGATTTTTTTCATCTGGGGAAACAAGAAAAAGTCACTAAGGGTGAGATCAGGTGAATGGGGAGTTGGGGCATGAGGGCCATTCCATTTTTGGTCAAAAACTGCTGAATACTTAGTGCGGTGTGGGCAGGTACGCTCATAAATCACCCATAATGAAATGGGCAAACACATAGAAAGAGGATTAAAAAAAAATTCACTGAAGTTGAATTTAGCCTCTCACAACAATGCCACATGGTACATTGATACAGATGTGTTACTAGAACACTCATCTAGTGGGGGAAGCCTACAAGGAGCCTGCCCTTCAGAAGATAATTCTGTTTTTTGGGGTCCCCTGTCATATATAGAATGGAATATTACTCAGCCATAAAAAAGAATGAAATCTTACCATTTGTGACAGCGTGGATGGATCTAGAGGGTATTATGCTAAGTGAAATAAGTCGGAGAACGACAAATACCATGTGATTTCAGTTGTATGTGGAATCTAAAACAAAGCAGAATGAAAACAGACTCATAGATACAGAGAATAAACTGATGGCTGCCAAAGATGGGAAGAATATGGGGAATTAGAAAAATAGGTGAAGGGAATTAAGAGACACAAACTTTTTAGTTATGAAATAAGTCATCACAATGTAATATAAAGAATTGGGAATATAGTCAGTAATGTTGTAATAGCTTTGTATGGTTACAGATGATTACAAGACTTAATGTGGTGATCATTTCAGAAGGTATGTAAGTATTGAGTCACTATGTTGTACACCTGAAACTAATATAATATTGTATATCAACTATACTTCAATTTTGAAAAAAAATTAGTTGACTGTAAATGTAAGATTTTACATCTGGACTCTTAATTCTGTTCCATTGATCTATAAGTCTAATCTTTTGCCAGTACTACACAGTTTTGATTATTGTGGCTTTGCAGTAAGTTTTGAAATTGGAAAGTATAAGTCTTCCAGCTTTGTTTTTCTTTTTCAAGATTGTTTTGGCTATTCTGGGTCTCTTGCATTTCCATATAAATTTTTGAAAACTTTTTGTCAAATGTCTGCCAAAAAAATAGGCAACTGAGATTTTGAGAAGAATTGCATTGATCTGTAGATCAATTTGGGCAATAAAATATTGTCTTTCATTACATTAACATAGGCTGTCTTTCCATTAATTTATTTTCAGTTTCCTTCCGCATTTATTTTGTAGTTTTCAGTGTATATGTCTTAAACATTTTTATTAAATATATTCCTAAATATTTTATTTTTTGATGCTATTATAAATGGAATTTTGTTCTTTTAATTTCATTTTAATTATTTACTGCTAATGTATATACATATAGGAATCTTGCAGCTCAACTTCTATCTCCAGTTGTTCTTCCTTGAGGCTTAGCCCAAGGCTCTCTCCTCTTTACTTATATGTGTGTATGTGTATGTATACATATGTAGAACCATTTGAGACTATGTTGTAGACATCATATCCTCCTACCAATATATATTGAGAGGCATTTTCAAAGAATAAGGACATCCCCTTATATACCAGGTATTGTTGAAAACAGGAGCAACTTGGGCATGTTGAAAAACCTAAGTGATGGTCCAGTGGAACAGGAGTGGGAGAAGGCATTGTTGTCACTGAAGGCTACAGACATAGCCAAAGAGTGGGGTCTAAGGCCCAGGTTGGCCCCTGCTATAAAGAGAAGTGAAGAGAGGTGACCCAGTGTGCAGATGTGGCAGCTTTGTTTTGTTTGACAGGAGAGTTGAAGAAGTTCCTCTCTGATGGACTCTGTTTTGTCACTTAGGAAGTGAGATGTTCTATTGAGAAGAGGGGGAAGGTTGTGAGTGATGGGGAGGGTCTGAGTTGAAGAAGACTGGAAAAAACATAAAAGAGTCAAGGAAATGAAACTAATACAAAATAATATGAAATATAAACTGATTGAAAAATAAAAAAAAAAAAATTAAAAGAAAAAATCATGGAAAAAAGAAGAGTCAAGGACAGGGGAGAGAGGGAATTAGGAGATAAATGTCTCAGGATTTACTTGACCAGGTAGCTCATTCCAGGTTGGTGCTTATTCTTTTAGAGTGAGCCAGTTCTGCCCTACTCCGTGACTCTTACGATCAGCACTTGAGGAGTTGAATTCATCTAGGCTGGATTTTTGCCGAAAGGGTGTGATGAAAAGACAGAATGGGCAGGGAAGGGAAGTTTGGGGTATTAATCAGATTGTGGACCATAGAAGATACTGAATAAGGATGAAAGAAGCAGGGTGGCTACTGGATGGGAAATAAAGGAGCAGATGGACCGGCAGTGGGCTGGGAAAGTAGGAGCCTATAATTTGTTTTTTAATTATTACTCTTTCACTTATTAGAGTTAGACATTAGAGCACACTACTGTAATAAATATTCTTCATGCCTTAATAGCATATAATTCTTATGACAATCCTGTAAGGTAAGCAAGCATAATCATTCAACCATTTTTACAGATGAGGAAAATGAGGTTAAGTGACTTGCCCAAGGTGACCCTGCTAAAGAGTGACAGCAGCAGCTCAAACCTGAGTCTCTCCAACTTTGGAGACCCCGCACATGTCTAGACATTTCTGCAGAGCTTCCGGTTGTGTCCCCTGCTTCTTTCAGCTAACAGGGTTTGGAAGTACAAATTGATCATATCACACACCAACTCAGAAAGTTTTCGTTATATTGAAATTTAAATGGAAATATGTTTAAAAATAAGATAAATTGACAGATTGATATAGAGACAGGTAGTTGGATAGTTATGTGATGAGGAAAGGCATAGTAAAATGTTAATTGTGAAATCTAAGCAGTGGCTATAATTCTTTCCACTTTATGCTTGAAAACTTTCATGTAAAATACTAGGAGAGAAAAGCCTTAACTGAGAAAAATTAAATGAATTTAAACCTCTTCTATGTGGACCCTGATTGACTTGTATTTTAGGTGTGTAAGAATCGGTAGAGTAATGGAAGAAAGGCTGCTTTCTCTTGGTGAGCAGTTTTTCTATGCTAAGAAACTTCTATGACTGCACTCTCAGGCATCTTATACTCTCCAGTACTGGAAAAGAATATTTAGATTGTATAATTTAAGCACTTTTAAAAGAGGAAAATATGCATTTCTGGAGAAGGAAGTTGAACCATATCAAAAGGTTTGGGGCAAAAGATAATCACTGTATTCTATTTGCCAGCTTACGTAGTTTCAGACCATAATAAGACATTTTTCATCTCTACCCTGTTACTTGCTTTCTCCTGTACAAATTCACTGAGTCCCAAATAATGTGTTTTACATGCACAGATACTTATTTTATGATAAAAGGATTCAGTCTTTCAGTAGGCATTTTTTTAAATTTGTTCAAATGCCTAGTTTGGAATATATTTGACATTTACTATAAGTGACTCTAAAAGGAAAGATAAATATCGTATCAGTGTGCTATTTGTTTTCAAAAAGGATTCTTTTTGTTTCATGTCACTAATGACACCTTCAGTTGATGGTTCATTTCAAGGCACTTTTGCAGGCACGCAGACTCTGCCGATGTCATTCATTGACCTGTTTGTTCCCTTCCTGAAGGCTCCAGAGCGGTGTTTGGTAGCATGAGGAGAGGAGGAGGAGCCACCGAGAGCCTGCAGCAGAGGTGTTTGCTGAAACTTCAGGCTTGGTTGGCTAATGTAACATGTGTGAAAAGACAGGACGTACTTGATCACTCAACTCCTTTCAGAAGCAATCAGCTGATGTCTTGGCTCACTCTCTGCCAGGGCGAATGTCTCTGCCAGATCAAATGTCACAACACCATGTGACTCAATGTGCTCAACAAGAAGGATCTTGCCAGGCCTCTCTGTTGATTTGTTTTCATCCACCTGCTGTCTGTGCTGCCTGACTAGGTCCCAGTAAGGAGGCTCTGCAGACGTTGGAGGCTGGGGGGTCTTGGTGCTGAGTTCATCCTAGCTTGATACTTTCTAGGAGGGTTTCCGTGGGCAAGTAACTCTACTTGCCTCTGTGTCTGAGTCTGACTGTCTGACTGTGAATGAGACTAATAATTGGATTACCTGCTTCATAGAGCTATTGCAGGTAAAGCTCTTAGTACAATGCATGGCATCCAACAAGCTCTTGATAAATGTTAGCTACTCTTATTATTATGCTGTCCATGTTATTCTGAAATTGCATCTTTCAATTGAACATACTTAATTGAAACATACTTTGAGACTTAATATGTTCTGACTGTCATTTTAACACTTGCATAATATTCCATAATTTGGAATACTGCCTCCTCCATTTCCTTTCCTTTTCCTATCTTCTCTAACTTGATAATACAACCCAGGTGCCACTCCTCATTGACCCTCTGTTTCTTATTAGTCCCTTTATCTATTCAGTTATTAAGTTCTACTCTTATTTTCCTTCCTAAATATGTTCTTAACCTGCCCCCTGCGCTTGACCGATAGTGCCCTGCCCTCGTTCACATGCTCTTAAACTCTCACGAGGACCACTGCAGGTGAATGAATTCCTGTTGCTTTTGAGATTGCCTGCCACCAGGTGCAAGGCCTGCAAATCCATCTGCAGATCTGACCATGTAACTCCTCTGCATGGTGCCTGGTGGCCCATGACAGTCATGATGTATGGCGTTGTCTATGTTAAGATTTATTGATGACAACAACATACAATGCAGAGAGTAGCAGAGGATCCCAGATCTCCCCAGGTTCACAGCTATTTTACAGAGAGGTGGGCGGTGTTGGATGCACTGCAAAGAGTTCCCCATTAGAGACCCCAGCCCACTGGTGGATATAGACCCAGCGGGATGTAGACTCATTTTTAATAAGAAATGTCCCACTACTGAATCTAATAAGCTGCTTTCAGGATCTCCAGAGTTCAGTTAAAGAGTTTGTGTATCCAAGGACTTGCTGTCCCTTCCAGGCCTGGCACAGGAAGAGGAGAAGGTCCCAGCAGAGACCACATGGTTTGTCCCTCCCCGTTACATAGTGCATGACTTTTCCTTGACTCTTCCTTTAAACTCCTGCCACCCTATGCCACTTGTGGTTGCTCAAGCTGGTTCATCTGGTGTTTACACTGTCCTTTGGCCATGGCCTGGCCGGCCTTATGACTGGGGATAACGTCCTCCAGAAAGCCTGCCCCTTTCTGGGCTCTGCTCTGGTTTGTCATTTGTTAACATGGTATATTTCTGCGTTTGGGTCACCTCAAATTGTGAGCAGCTTGAAGGAAAGCTATCACACTGACCTTTGGATCTCCAGGGCCTGGCACCGGCCTGGCGTGTTAGATAACTGGCTGAATGTGTGTTTGAGTAGACTGCAAAGGAAAATGGAAATCACCTATACTCTCACTACCCAGAAACTAAGCCACTGAATTAGTTACCAGTGAAATTAATTTGGGATATACTCTTCCAGACTTGGTTTTTCTAGCTATAAATCTATATTTTTCAAACATACACATCCCACAAACGATACTTTATTTTACGAAATCAGGATCAAACCTTACCTACTGTTTTAAAATCTTTTCCCATTGAATACCTCATGAACAATTTCCCTTCTCATTAAGAATTCTTATACGCTTTGGATAATAGTGCTGCACAGTATTTCCTCCTTATCAGACACATAGCTTATTTTCCAGCTGGAATTATTAATGATTTATTTATGTCATGAGAATATTTGTTTCTTGTGCTGAAGAAATATGGTGAACAAATACTAGGTCCAAAGTAAAGACAAGGAATAAAGATGCATTGTTCTGGTTGTAGTGTGCTTTGGCCTTTAAGATTCTGGGATTTTAGCCCTTCACATCATGACTGCCTGTAATGGAAGCTCCTCTTTGCAATGCCTTTTGTGTTGATTGTTTTGTTTTGTTTTTTTTTTTCATGGCAGGACTATGGCAACTCAGGAAGCCACTCCAGGCAGCCAGTCAGAGAACAATGCTTTGGAGCTGCCATCTGCTTGTGACATAAGAGATTACATGCTGCAAGAACCCAGCCAGGAGGCCCACAGTGAGGCTGTTAGTTCTGTAGAAGCCTTTTCTATTCCTTCCTCTTCTGAAGTGGACCCAGGTAAGAAGCAGAGTTTAAAGTAAACTAACATTAACAAAAACCCTAAACCCTAACGTATATATAGGTATGCCATAGTTTGTTTCTCTTTTCTCTGCTGAATGATTCATTGGCTCAGGTAGAAAAATGTCTTATTTAAACAAAACTGGGGAGAGACTTTAAAAGATAGCCTCCCTGGAGTAACCACCATAACAAACTGTTTCCTGCAAGCCTTTTATTATTTTTTTTTGTCTAAGTCCCTTTCTGATCTCCATCCAAATACATTAAGAGGCAGGAGAACACTTGGTTCAACAGGGAAAGAGTAGAATTGTTTTTTTGGTTTTGTTCTCTTGAAACTTCAGAAAATAGCAATGGGGGCCAGTTATGTGTTATAAGTAATAGTAATAAGGACTTTAATATTCCTTATATGAAGAATACTCTGGATTTAGGAAGCAACTTTTCTACAAGTTTCTCTGACTGAATTACTCAAAAGTCTGTTATTTAAGCGTAATGATAATTTCTTGACATAGCGACCATCTCTGGTTGTAAAGCTCTCGTCTTCCCTGTTCGTTGCCTAATATAGACCTGGATGTCCCAGGTCTGGACTCAGAGCCTGGCTCTATTCCTCCAGAGAATTCAGCGTAGACTCAGTTTTTATTTTTTATCAGCTAGTGGATGAATAATCCGTAGGAAAGCAACTGTCATTCTTTCAAATTTGGTTGACAGTTCTAAAAATGAGAAGCATGTTGAAATATTTATACTGGAGGTATTTGTTATGTTAATAATATAGACATTTCATGTCAAAAAAAAGGTCCTATTAGAAATTCTTATAGAGGTCTAAATGTGGGAAGGTGCACTCAAATGCTACGACAGCCATTTTGTGTGGTATTGGTGGGGGTAGTGGGTCAGATTGTCTGGCTTCTTCCTGTGGTTTGACCTTGGGCAAGTCACTTGGCCTCTCTGTTTTGGTTTCCTCCTTTATAAAATGGCGATAATAACATGTACCTTGTTGTGGGGAAGGATAATGAATATGTATGAGGCACGTGGTACCTGGCACATGGTAGACTCTTGGAAGTCCAACTCTTTATAACCTCACAGCATCTGGGCCACTCAACACACTACCATGCTGACCAGGCTCTCGTTACATTTATGACCTCTCACCTTCAGTGGACCCTTCGTGCTGACCCTCCATCACACATCATTTTCCCAGTGTGTTCACTCTGCTGCCCCCCCGGAGGACTATTTTGTACCTTCTCCTCCTTTTGCAAACCTGCATGACCTCTTCCTATAGCCTCTCTCCAATGACCTGATTAGCTGGTGACCTGATGAGCTGATTTTCTGTTTCACTGAGAAACCAGAAGCAATCAGAAAAGAATGGCTACACCTGCTCGACGTCCACCAGCTCCCTTCCCTCTAGTGTCTGTGGAAGATCAATCCCTGTTTTACCCTTCACTTCTACGTTAGATCTTGTCTTCTCTCACCTGCTCAAGGTTGTCACTCTGGCGGTCTACTGTATCATCGGACCCCCACTCCACATTGTTAAGTCCAAGACACTCCTCGAACCTCATCCTTCTTGCTCTGTCAGCAGCATTGATGCAGTTGACCTTTTCTGTCTTGAATTCTTTCCCCACTGCGCTTTCTGGGAAATAGCCTCTCCTGGTTCTCTTCTTACTTTATTGTCAATTTGTTCCCAGTCTCCTTTGGTGGTTTCTTCTTGTCTCTCCAGCTTTTTAATGTTGGAGAGCCCTGGGGCTGAGTCTTCAGATCTCTTCTCTATTATTACTCACTTCCTGAATCTTATCCAGTCTGGGGACCTTTGCCTTCAGTATCTTGCTCAATCTCACATTTCTCTCTCCAACTTGGATCTTTAGCTTGACACTTAGACCACATGTGTACTTGACATCATCACTTGGATTCCCATAAGAATTCTTATTTAAAAAATAATTAAAAAAAATTTTTTTAGTTACTCTGACTTCTTAAATTTGATACATCCTAAACCAAGTTCCCAATCTACCCCTTCTCCAGTCCCTTCCACCTTCTACACACACACACACACACACATTATTTGAGGCATTCTCATTTCAAAAAAAGTACTTCCATCCTTCTGTTCACTTAGACAAAAATCTAGGAGTCATCCTCGGCTTCTCTCTTTCTCTTAAACTTCCCATCCAGTCCATTGGCAAATCCTGTGAATTCTGCCTTCAGAATAAATCTAGGATCTGAGCAACTTTTTGCCATCTCCACTGCCACCACCCTGCTCCAAGCTGCTATCATCTGTCTTCTAGATCACTGTTACAGTCTCCTAACTGGATTTTTCCACACCTTCCCTTATCTTCCTACAATCCCTTCTCAGGACAGCAACCAGAAGATTCCTTTTAAAACATAAATCAAATCATATTAGTCCTTGGTACAAAAACCCCATGGCTTCTCATCTGACTCAGGGAAAGAACCCAAGTCCTTCCTGATGCCCTCTTTGATCTCACCTCCTACCATTCTTCCCCCTCTACCCACCTCACAGGCCTAGGCCTCGGCCCTACCAAGCATGCCTCTCTGCCCCTCTGGGAGGCCCACCCCCGCCTACTGTGTCTAACAGCCCACTCCTGCTGATGATCCTTTATCGTACACTTTGCAGCTTTATGCTTCGCCACAGATCTAGTGCCATCCAACATCCTATATATCTGATGGTGGCAGCCAGGTTATAAGGCTATGGGCCCAGGCTTAAACCTAACTTTTGTAAAGGATTCCGCATTTCACATTGCAGTTGCCTCTGGCTATGGGCCTATCACTGACCTGCTCTTCCCAGGCAGGCTTTTTGAAGGGGTTGCCTGTGCTCCTTCATTCTATTTCCTCTCACAATTGTTCCTCATTTTGGGGCATGTGACCTCCAACCTCACTACTCACTAGACTAAGCCTTCTCTTGCTTGATGCCAGTGACCTTCACCAGGAGCTACACCTAATGGACACTCCTCTGCCCTTAGCTATGTGCTCATGCCCTGGAGGAGGATGTTAGTGGTAAGGGACATGAGACTTAAACGTACTTTTTAAGAAACAAATGAGTTGATAACAATCTGAAAGTATTAGAAAAAAACTCAGAAGCCTTAGTCATTAGTCATTTCAGTCTGGGTACCCAAAGGTAGGTGAGGCTGGGTTATTTGTCTAAATAAACAGAGCTCAGCTGTCCTTAAACGACCAGCTATCCACTTCTCATGACGTACTGGTAGAGTAAACAACTTGCCACTTAAGCCAGGCGCAGGATTATGAAACTCACTCCCTATGCCCATCCTGCTGAGATAAGGCAGAAAGGAGGCTCACACCCCGAGAAGGTCTTCCTGAAAACACTGTTTCCATCCCATTCCTCTAAGTAAGTGCCTCTGAGATTTCATTGTCTACTTCCTGCCAACTCCGGTCAAAGCTCCAGTGCCTTGTTTTCAGGACTCTGTGTTATCTGGTGTCTTGGGTATTTGTTCAAAATATTTGACAGCCAGTTCAGCAACACTGCGATATTTTAACATGTGGCAAGGCTGTACACGTGCATGCCAGGTAAATAGAGGACCCTGCTTGTGTCTAACTGCTCATGACACAGTCCTGCCACACCTGTTGGGCCTGTTTTTAGGCTGAGGCAGACTTAATGCCAGAGCTGAGCTGCATTATTCCTAACTTGAAATGTGCCCCTTTCCCCCCGAGTCAACTCCAGTCCACTCTGGAGACAGCTGAATTGAATCCATCAGTGTAGTCCTGACTACATAGTTGTTGATGGACTCAAACTCCCTGTCTCTAAGATACTTGTTCCCTTTCTTTTTTGTTATGGACTCAAGGAAAGCATAGAGTAAACAGAATGGAAAGCCCAAGTGAAATGGCAAATGGTTTGGATAAACCTCTCAAAAGCCAGGTCACAGAGGGTCCCTGGAGGCGCAGTCCTGTGAGCGTTACTATAGCTTGATGAACTCTGGGTTGCTCGCGTGGCATATATCATCAGCGCCTTCTGAAGCCTTTGTCCTTCAATATACATTGAGTGCAAGTGATTGCACCCAACGTATATTCTAATACAGGACAAAGTTTCTTGGAGTTGTGCTTAGACATTACAGTACGGAGGTGGACCATCTCAGCCCTTTCCTCAGACTTGAACTTCTGAGATCAGGTGTTGGGCAAATTGGTTGAATGTATACGGTACGTAGAATGTTAAACACAATACGTTTCTGACTATTAAAGGCCCTGGCTGATAGACATCATGCTGTCCTGAGAAGGGATTGTAGGAAGATAAGGGAAGGTGTGGAAAAATCCAGTTAGGAGACTGTAACAGTGATCTAGAAGACAGGTGATAGCAGCTTGGAGCAGGGTGGTGGCAGTGGAGATGGCAAAAATTGTTCAGATCCTAGACTTATTCTGAAGGTAGAATTCACAGGATTTGCCAATGGACTGGATGGGAAGTTTAAGAGAAAGAGAGAAGCTGAGGATGACTCCTAGATTTTTGTCTATTTTAGCTATTGTCTAAAGTAAATTGTGCTTTAATGCCCTCTTACTTTTCTTTTGGAATCTGTCAACATCCCAATCTTCAAAGGCCATTTTATAACCTGTGTATTTAGGCATTTCATCTAAGAAATTTGATATTTAAGAGTAGATGAATTCCTGGCTGATGTGGCTCAATGGATTGAGTGCCAGCCTGCAAATCAAAGGGTTGCCGGTTCTATTCCCAGTCAGGGCACATGCCTGGGTTGCAGGTCTGGGCCCCAGTAGGGGATGCATGAGAGGCAACCACACATTGATGTTTCTCTCCCTCCTTTTCTCCTTCCCTTCTCATCTCTAAAAATAAATATATAAAATCTTTTAAAAAATTATCTTTAAGAAAAAAAGAGATGAATATATTTTTTTCTTTAATGATCATGAGAAATTATAAGCTCTTAAATCTGAAGTCTCAAAATAGGATTTATATAATTATGAATATGTTGTTGTCATTTTAAATAGGAGTCAGGATATAGTTTAGACATGAAAATAATGTTAAAGACTTTTTTAGAAGAAAAAGAAAA